ACTGAATGAGTCACTTGGTCCACTGACTGAATCACTTGGTCCACTGACTGAATCTCTTGGTCCACTGAATGAATCTCTTGGTCCACTGAATGAATCACTTGGCCCACTGAATGAATCACTTGGCCCACTGAATGAATCACTTGGTCCACTGAATAACTTGGTGCACTGAATGAATCACTTGGTCCACTGAATGAATCACTTGGTCCACTGAATCACTTTGTCCACTGAATGAATCACTTGGTCCACTGAATCACTTGCATGAACTGAATTTTTCCTGTGAATCAATTAAAGGCCTAGTGTTCCTTAAAGGTAGGCACGTCGCCCACTACCCTTCATGACACAGTTTTACACCAAATCATTTGATGTTGACAAATGAAGGGGTTCTAGTCGTTTTGGACAAACCTTGAAAACTGATCTCATGCGTTCTGTTGCTCAGAGCGTGCGCTGGTGGCTACGAGCACATTAACAGCCGAGCTCAGTTTTGTAAATCTTCACAGTGCTGGCCAAGGTCAAACAACCGTGGCAGCGTATGGGTAAAGTATACAAAGAATATCTGTAAATAAAGTTAACATTTTACAAAAGTATATAATCTACTAAACCAAGATTCATAACACGGATCTCCTGAATGAACCGAACAGTTTGAATGGAAAAAAAACTAAGCAGGGAAGCACTGGTTTAAATTCATAACGCTCCCCTGCTGACATGTCACCGCTACAAACACAAGAGTCTACCTAGGAGAGCTGCAGGACGGTGGGCTGAGCTGCTGCCTTGCTCAAGACCTTGATGCACGGCCAAGAGGAACCCACGTCTAAGGAAGGCAGCCATGAACCAGCAACGCTACAGAAACACGAGACAGATGTCAGCTGATCAGACTTGATGCTACCCAGTTCAGATGGTGCACGAAGGCTTCGTTAAGTTCTGACAAATGGACCCAGCCTCAGTCAGTCGTGGACCCAGCCTCCGTCAGTCGTGCAACCAGCATCCCGTCAGTCGTGGACCCAGCCTCCGTCAGTCGTGGACCCAGCCTCCGTCAGTCGTGGACCCAGTTTCCGTCAGTCGTGCAACCAGCCTCCGTCACTTGTGGACCCAGCCTCCGTCAGTCGTGGACCCAGCCTCCGTCAGTTGTGGACCCAGCCTCCGTCAGTCGTGGAACCAGCCTCCGTCAGTCGTGGACCCAGCCTCCGTCAGTCGTGGACCCAGCCTCCGTCAGTCGTGGAACCAGCCTCCGTCAGTCGTGGACCCAGCCTCCGTCAGTCGTGGAACCAGCCTCCGTCAGTCGTGGACCCAGCCTCCGTCAGTCGTGGACCCAGCCTCCGTCAGTCGTGGACCCAGCCTCGGTAATTATTTTCACGCAGGACGTCCTTCCTGACTCAACCACAGACACTGAGCTACCAAAGCCTCTGTGTGGAGCAGAGCGCCGACATCTGGGGCACCCGGGGAGCAGATGGGGGGTTAAGTGCCTTGCTCAAGGGCTCAGAGTGGGGCAAATGAGGGTGGAGACAGGTGTGGGTGTTTCACCAACCCCACACACATTTTTGATGTTGGCGGTACCGGGAGTTGATCCAGCGCTCTTCCGATCACAGGCCCACCTTCTCCAACCTCTGCCACCACTCCCATCAATGTGTCTGTGGTGTAAGAATGATACTCCTCCACTCGTGGGCCTAATTTAATGTTTTCCTACATTTTGTCTGTTCAGTTGGTCAGAATCTACTGTCCCGTGAAAACTGGACTCTTCTTCTAATAAAGGCCTGAGCTGGTGTCCTGCCTTCATCCTGATGAAGAGGAGGCTTGTTTTTAACAGCCGCACGTCGAGGCTGCCCCGGCGCTGCCTGATCGAAAACAACACAAATTAAAACCCACACGCCAGTAAGAGGCAACATACCAGTAAGAGGCGCAGACAGGAACACGGAGCTCGTGTTGGGATAACACTGGCCCAAGTTTCAGCACAACAAATGGATCTGAGACAGAACCAGCAGCCGAACCTCGTTAAGAATGCAGAGTTAACGCGTTGACGACGCAGCACCAGCACATCTCCTTTTATGGTCAACAACACACACACGGCTTCCGGCGTGTTTTTTTATTTTTAACTTTATTAACATCACGAAGAGAAAAGATAGAACTGTGTTAATCCCGCAGGAAATTGTTGTGCCAGAGTTTCAGTACAGAGCAACATACACAATGAATCACGCAAGATATTAAAAATAACAGATAATATAAAAATAACTAATATATCCAACAATCTTTAGTCAGGTCATCCGGACAGTTTCTTTGTTTTTGCTGAAACGTTTCACCTTCCATCCAGAAGGCTTCATCAGTCAAGGAAACACACAACAAAACTGATTCTTCCCCAGCAGCTTACTCCAAAGTGGAACAAACCAGTTTCAGCAAAAAAATAAATTAAATAAACTGTCCAGATGAGCTGACTGAAAAATGTTGGATTGTATACCTGGATTATTGAGCATGGATTGTTTTGGAACTGACAATATAAAAATACCAACATTAAGGTGTAAAACAGGTTGGGGTCAGACAGAAACATTAAAGTTCTTATTTTGGTGCAGGATTAATTTTATTGTCCTAAAGGCTGAGGAGTTGAGCAGTGTGAAGGACTTCCTGTTCTGTGGAGCGCCTGGTGGTCTCAGTGTGACTGAAGGTGCAGGAAGAGTCCAGGGTGTCCTGGGGGGTGACGTGATGTTCAGGATGTGGAGCAGGTTCCTCAGCATCCTCTGTCAGAGGTGCAACACAGAACAATGTAACAACTCACAGCCACAAACTGCCACAGGGTCATGACTGTGATCATTGGGTGTATTCTGCGTGTGTCCACGAGGTGGCGGTCACGAGTGTGTGCGTGTTGGAATGTGGAGAGCTCTGGAGGTGCAGTCACCTGTGAGCAGAGCTTTAATAAAACAGACCTGGTTCTTACCAAACACAAACAGAACATTTGACAAAATAATCAAAGAAAAAACACAAAGGAGTAAGACTATATGAGAAATTAAAACAATAACACGAACGTTTCAATCATGTCACTGGACCAGTTTATTTAAGGGAGAGACGTTTCGTCATCCATCCACAGGACTTCCTCAGTCTACGGCCTGCCAACCAGATCTGTGTCATAGGTAGCCTTCACTGCTGGGTTTCAAGACAACCTCCTGTTGGAATCTCAGAAGTAGGTTAATAACATGTGCAGAACACACCCATCCAAAACAATCAACCATACATCCAACATTTTACAGTCAGCTCATCTGGACAGTTTCTTTTTGTGTGTGCTATTCGTGGTCTGGGCATCGGCTGGTCCCTCCTGAGTCCCTGGTTTATCTTCCTGAGTTCCTACATGTTCCTATATTTATGTGAGAACAGCTGCCCCGTCAGCTCGTTTTTGTGCTTATTAAAGTGCTTTCTTATTTCAGCACCTGGTCTCAGTCCTGCCTGGACCATTGGGTTCAACTCAAAACCACCCATCACAACACAAATGTTTTAGGCCAACTTGCTACTCACAGAAACAGCCTGAGGACAACCAAGGCCATAGTGGTTCAGAAAAAGGTTGTAAGCTCAATAATCCAGGTAGATAACAACAAAAAAGGCCTTTTTATTGAGCTTACAACCTTTTCTAAAACAGTACGTGTTTAGATATCTGTTGTGAGATGATTCAAGCAGTTTTCCAGGTTTTTAATCAACTTAACGAAGAATGGTATGATTTACAGTTGTTCATAAAACAGAGGAAGGAGGGCTTACTATCTTTCCTCTGACTACACAGAAGGTGCTACTTCGCTGTAAAAGTACAACTATGTTTATGGCATCAGAGCAAGCTTCACTTGAGCTTAACTTATCCACATAAAATCAAATGGCATCAGAAGAAGAATGCTGAGTTTGAGACTAATCCAGTTTCTGACGTCGACATGAAAAAACAAATGCTGCAGGGATTCATCTTCTGATTTACCTCAAACTGATATCTTCTTTACAGAAACATGGCTACAAGATGTTTAACACATCATCTTGGGGGGCAGATAAGATGTCCATGAGGGCCACGTTTGGCCCCTGGGCCTTGAGTTTGACACATGTGACTTACATTGATGGTACTGTGATTTATATGGATGGTTTTATGTGTGTAGCTTCCCTTCACCTTTGGGTGGGGGGACGGGCTCTGACTGTTCTTTGTGCCTATGTGCCGAAGGGCAGTTCAGCGTATCTGGCCTTCTTGGAGTCCTTGGTGGGTGCTGGAAGGTGCGCCAGCTGGAGACTCCTTTATTCTGCTGGGGGACGTCAATGCCCGTGTGGGTAATGACAGTGTGACCTGGAGGGGTGTGATTGGGAGGAACGGCCTCTGATCTGAACCTGAGCGTGTTCTGTTGTTGGACTTCTGAGCTGGTCATAGTTTGTCCATCATGAACACCACGTTCCAACATAAGTGTCCATAAGTGCACTTGGCACCAGGACGAACTAGGTCGTAGATCAATGAGTGACTTCATAGTCGTGTCGTCTGATTTACTGACGTTTCTTTTGGACACTCAGTTGAACAGAGGAGCTGAGCTGGCAGTGAGTTGGATCAGATGGTGGGGGAAGATGCTGGACAGACCCAGTAGACCCTAATGTGTCTTAGGGTGGTGGAAAAAATACTTCTCTGACCTTCTCAATCCCACGGGCACGTCTTTCACGGAGGAAGCATAGTCGGAGGACTTTGGGGTTGCTCTGTCCTTAACCATAGCCGAAGTCGCAGAGGTAGTTAAAAACCTCGATGGCAGCAGGGCTCCGGGGGTGGATGAGATTTGCACTGATTTCCTAAAGGCTCTGGATGTTGTGGGGCTGTCTTGGTTGACACACCTTTACAACATTGTGTGGTCAGGGAGGAGGTCCTGCCCCAAGTGGAGGAGTTCAAGTATCTCGGGGTCTTGTTCACAAATGAGAGAAAAATGGAGCATGAGATCGATAGGCGGATAGGTGCAGCGTCTGCAGTGAAGCGGGCGCTGTGCCGGTCTGTCGTGGTGAAGAGAGAGCTGAGTCAAAAGGTGAAGCTCTCAATTTACCATCAATCTACGTTCCCACCCTGGATAAGAGGAAGAAGATGGATGGATGGATAAATTTGTATAAATTAATATATATGAACCTGTATTAAAATAAATAAATCTATGAACTGTATTAAAATAAATAAATCTATGAACTGTATAATAAATCAATCAATCTATGCACCCATCCATCCATCCATTTTCTTTACCCGCTTGTTCCATTTTGGGTCACGGGGGTCGCCGGTGCCCATGTCCAGCAATCACTGTGCGAGGGGCGGGGGACACCCTGGATGGGTCGCAAGTCCATCACAGGGACACATAGAGACAAACGAGACAAACAACCATTCACTCTCTCACTCACACCTAGGGACAATTTAGAGTTACCAATCAGCCTAACATGCATGTTTTTGGTCTGTGGGAGGAAACTGGAGCACCCGGAGAAAACCCACGCATGCACGGAGAGAACATGCAAACTCCACCCAGAAAGGCCCCTGGACCGGGGTTTGAACCAGGGACCTGCTCGCTGAGAGGCAGCAGCTCTACCAGTTGCACCACCGTGCTCAATCTATGCACCTGTATAATAAATAAATAAATCTATGAACCTGAATAATAAATAAATAAATCTATGAACCTGTATAATAAATCAATAAATCTATGAACCTGTATAATAAATCAATAAATCTATGAACCTGTATAATAAATCAATCAATCTATGCACCTGTATAATAAATAAATCAATCTATGAACCTGTATAATAAATAAATAAATCTATGAACCTGTATAATAAATCAATCAAACTATGAACCTGTGTAATAAATCAATCAATCTATACACCTGTATAATAAATCAATAAATCTATGCACCTGTATAATAAATAAATACATCTATGAACCTGTATAATAAATAAATAAATCTATGAACCTGTATAATAAATCAATCAATCTATGAACCTGTATAATAAATAAATAAATCTATGAACCTGTATAATAAATCAATAAATCTATGAACCTGTATAATAAATAAATAAATCTATGAACCTG